TAAATATAATAATAAATATATATTATATTGTAATTATATATATATTATAATATAATATAATCATAATTTTTAACTATCCATAGTAATTCAACATCATAATTTACCAAATACTATTACACTGATTTTGGAACCAGCATAACTATTATAATTATAGTTTATCAAACACTTAGTTATTTTTTGTAACAGCTGCTTTTTCTTTGACACAGCTAAAAGTAATTTTTTTTAAATCTACAGCACTACCAAACTAAGCCAATGTCTTTTTCAATTTGCTTCTTCACATGTGATATTGGTTCTTTATTCTGTTCTTTGTTTTTTGTTTTTTATTTTTTGTTTTTTGTTTTTGTTTTTATTATTATTTTTTTTTTGCTTTATCTTTTTTCAACGTTTTTAAGCTATTCATAACTAAATTCTAAGAGAAATACTAGCATTAGTCTTTTTATCACTCTTTACATGTATTATTTAACACGTGAACTCTATTAACATGATATATTATTATATAAACAAAAAATGACGTATCAAACAGTGAACGCAAAGAATGACAGAAAGAATAACACTGGCATTTTTTAAATCTTAAAACTTTATCATTTCTCTACATCATTCTAAACGCAACTAACCGCTAAAAAATCTTCAGGTCACGTAATTATGTATCAAGGAAAAGGCAAGGATTTTCCAAAAGTTGAACAAATAAATTTTCTTTTTGGCGGGAAAATTGAACAATTAATTTGAAAGCTAAAAGTTGCAAATTGATAAGTAAAGATTTTAAGATGATGATTGAATAATCAAAGTAAGGCTTCGTTCACTTCGCAGATTCGAGTTTTCAATTCGAGTTGAGATATGACATTTTCTAAGAGTTTTTTACTGTAGCAGAAAAAGTTAGATGTGATATTTTCTGAGAATTTTTTACTGTAGAAACTTAAAACTGAAAACTCGAATCGGTAAAATGAACGAGGCATAAATTTTATGAGAGCAATTTGATACACATTCATCAGCGGCGGTGGAGACGGGACGTAGATAGAAATTAATGAAGTTGTTGGACGGTTAACATCACTTGGAACTTTATTTGATACAAGAAAAACGGGTTCCAAGTGATGTTTACATCAGTCCGAACTTGATAGCATAATGAATGTATTTATATTTTTTTCATGCCTACGCATATAATAACTAGATTTTCATCAATATAATTCCTAACATTATTGTTGATGGTAAAATTTTATCAATAAGAACATGCCGGATTATCGTCCAATAATCAATTGGGTTACCGGCTAAAATACGTGAAAAAAAAAAAAGAAAACATCCAATAATCAGTTGGGTTACCGGCTAAAATAAGTGAAAAAAAAGAAAACAAAGAAAGAAAGAGAAAAAAAAGGAAAGGGAGACCAAAACCTCTGTAATCAGAAAAGAAAAGGAATAGTAAAATTTTCCTTAAAGTGGATGTAGTTCTTTGTTAAAGAGAATAGTAAAATTTTTTCCCAATATAGCTCTTTTAAGTTTGTAATTTGAGTTGAGATATGATTTTATATGAGAACTTTTTACTGTAGTAAAAAAGTTAGATGTGATTATTTGTGAGAGCTTTTTACTGTAACAAAACTCAAATTTTAAATTCAAATTGGTAAAGTGAACGGGCCTAACTCCCCGTATTGCTCTTATTTGCATTTTTGTTCACACATATTAGAAGCACCCCTCTGATCTACACAACCAGTTGCACTTTTCTTATTTTTAGCACGTATTTTATTCGATAACCCAACTGACTACTAAGCGATTATCCGACATATTCTTGTCATAAAATTTCACTGTCAACAATTATGAATCAATTTCTTATGTATTAGGCAGATCTTAAAAGAATGCTCTGCTAAAAAAAAAAAAGTCCAAGTGTAAGCAAAAGAACGACAAATTTTTCAGCATTTTATATAGAGGAAAAAAAAGGGAACGTGGAGATCTAGCAAATATGTAAGATAATCAAATTTGGACAAATGAAAAAAAAAATAATGCACATAACAAAAAACAAATCTATGAACACATTGTCTAATATCACATTGCAAAGATACCAACAATACATGACCTTATCTTACGTCCACTTTCACAGCAACAAAATTGTACCTTCCATAACATAATCACCACTGATACTACTTTCATTCCTCATCTCAACAAAGAGAAACGACACAAACTCAGATATATACATACGAAAATTATTATATATAAATAAGAAGAGAAAAGACAACAAACGACATCAAAATCAGCGTCGGCAGCGAGTGATTCTGGAGCAACCTCTGGTGGGTGAACTGGGCCTCTGGCTTTGAAGAAATTGTGGGTGTAGTTAGATCTGCCGGAGCGAGGCAGGCAAGGGATTTTGTTCGCCGACAGAGCTCCGTACGATATGTAGTACCTCGTCGTACCTCTCCAGAACAGAGATCTCCGGTCGACGAAGTCGCCGTCGGCGAGCTCGTCGTAGAGCAACATTGTCGTCGGCCACTCCATGGCGTCGCTCATCAGCTTCAAGCTCGTGTCGTCGAGCTGAGTTAAAGAGGAACTTCCCAAGGTGACGAAGATTGTTAGGAAGAAACAGAAACAGAAAAGCTTGAGAGAAGAAGACGCCATTGGAAACGTCTAGAGAGGGAAACAAGAGGAAATGAGTAGTGAGAGTTTGGAGGTTTTGGTGTCTAAATCTATGGCAGATTTTGGGGGGGAAAGAGATCAGGAGAGGGAGAGAGGAGACAGTGGACAGGGATCACACGGAGGAGTGAATTGACGCGAGCCTCGATTATCGCGTTACCACTCTTTGGGCACTTTTCTGCCAGGCTGAGTACAGAGTTGAGTACAGGGTTCAATCTCTGTACTCGTCTTTTGAAATACGTGTGGTTTAGAAGCATCTCAGCCGTCCATCTCTCCGCCGGATCTTTAAGGAAACACTTTCTGAGAAAATCCTTCCCTTCCTCGGAAAAATCCGATGGAATTGCGGGCTCTTCTTCTCCGCCGATTCTGATCAACAACGGCCAAACACTCGCCCCCGCCTTGTGGTCCCACACCGGCTTCCCGGTCGCCATCTCCGCCACCGCGCATCCGAGAGCCCAAACGTCGCACGGCGATTCATAAACGTTGTCGTTTACCGACTCCGGCGACATGTACAGAGGAGTTCCTCTTATCTCACACTCGTTGACTTTCGTCGCCATCTCTTTCGCGAGCCCGAAATCGGCGACCTTGGCGGCTCCGTTTTGGAAAACAAGGATGTTCTGAAGCTTAATATCGCAGTGGACGAATCCTTTCGAGTGAATGAATGAAAGCCCTTTTAGTATCGATTTCGTGTGGCGGCGAATTTCCAATTCCGACAAACGACCGCCCTGGCTCTTGACTCTGTCTGCCAAGCTTCCTCCCGAGGCGTACTCCATTAAAAGATTGTGGAACTCCTCGCCTTTTTCGACGCTCTGTTCTTCGCCGAAATATCGAATGATTTGGGGGCAAAGTCCAATCGTATCGAGCACTCGCTTCTCGTTCTTCAACGAAGATGAACAACAAGCTTCCGAGGATTTGACGGCCATTAGTGGAGGGAATTGAGAAGATGATTTTGTGGGTGTTGCTTTGCTGATTTTGGCGAAGCTTCCATGGCCGATTTGTTCTCCGCGAACCCACTCCATGAGTATTGAGAGAAAGAAGAAAGTTTGTTTTGCTTGGTTTGCTAGGTTCGAGGAAAAGCAGAGCGGCCCTGTGTCAAAAATATCTTTTATCTTTTAAGTTATTGGCACAAATAGTCCTTCATTTATTTAGTAGGTGACAATTTGATCTCTAATTTTTTTTCTTGACAAATTAATCCTCATCCTTTTAAAATAGGTGTAATTTAATTATTTTTGTCAAGATCTGTCTAAAAATTAACGGAAAAATACACTTTATCTATCATGTGACCATCTTTTTCACTAAAATGATTGACATGTCCACAAAGAAAATAAATTCACACCCACCATCATCTCTGCCAAACCACCACCACCATTACGGCCACCGTTACCAAAACCACAACAACCAGCATTAACCCAACATCGACCGTCCACCCTTTCCACCACTATCTTTTTCCGAGCACCACTATAACTCTTCTCGTCACCACCATCATTAGTCACCTATACTCATCAACACATGAATCTAACAAAGCTAACTAAAACAATTAACAAACTCATATCTACACTCACCAAACAAGCCCAATTTTAGAATTGAGGTCGACGCCCCTTGATTTCAAAGCCGAACAGCCCACAATTGATGCCTTTCTTGAAGAGATTCATCAATCTTTCAATCGAACCAACGACAACATCCAAAATTTTGACAAACTCGGATCAATCTCGCCTAACGAACTACCAAAATTGAGCCCACATCACGAACATCGACGAGCAGGGTCGATGAGGAGAAAGTCGACGCGAAGAAGATAACCCACGCAACAACGACGATGTTTGCACCAGCCATGGCAGCCATCGTAACCCATCCTCATCTACTAAATTGCTACTGGAAGTATCTTCATCGTTGTTTGTGTCTGAAGCCATGCAGTGCCAAAATATGCTTAGCAACGATGGTGCTCGACGAGGAGAAGAAGCTCAACAACGACGATGTTTGCACCAGCCATGGCAGCCATCGTAACCCATCCTCATCTACTAAATTGCTACTGGAAGTATCTTCATCGTTGTTTGTGTCTGAAGCCATGCAGTGCCAAAATATGCTTAGCAACGATGGTGCTCGACGAGGAGAAGAAGCTTAAACTCATGACAGCGGCGATGGCACTCACATCTGTTTAGCGCTATTTTCCCTCCATTCACGTGCTCAGCGCCATTTGTCAGAGAATGGTGCATCATCCCAAAGTGAGAGCCCTCGCCGGCGGCCCCGAGCTTCACCAGCCATCCCCATCTTCTCCGATACCATCGTCGACATCGTCTTTAGCCCCAATTTGCCCCAATTCGACCAAGGATGTGTTTTTACACATATACTCTAACTTAATGGGTCACGTGAACGCTCATGTGTCTTCTCTCGTTAATTTTTAAACGGATCTTAAAGAAAAGAACCAAATTATACCTATTTTAAAAAATTATATATTGATTTGTCATAAAAAAAACTAAATTATCACTTACTAAATAGGTTAAACACCATTTGTGTGAATAATTTTTCTTTTTTTTAATTCTCAATTAATAAACTTATTTCTTTGATTTTTATTAATTTTAAAATTATTAATATTCTTTTATATATATTTTTTGAATATAATGGTGTGAAAATTATGTGGCTATTTGTTTTCATTTTTAAAAATGTTTTTCGCGTTTTCCGAGGATAAACAATTAAAACGAATAGAAAAAATGTGTTTGGTGCAACAGTTTATCAAAATTAAAAACAAAAACGCCTTCTTCTCCCATTTGCATCTTCTGATTCAACCCTCTCATGAGCCTCCGCCAGAGACCATCCCCACCGTCACGTCCGAGTCCGGCAGAGGCGGGAGACCCAGAGTCGATGCCGTATAAAATAATCCCGGTGTACAACCTGCTCGCGGACCACCCGTCGTTGCGGTACCCAAAGATTCGAGCCGCGGCGGTGGCTCTACGAGCCGTCGGGAACCTCTGTCGGCCGCTGTTCGCACAATGGCTCCCTCACATGGACCTCCTCGATTGGCTCGCCTTATTCTTTGGCTTTCAAAACGATAGCGTTCAGAACCAGAGGGAGCACCTCATCCTCCACCTCGCCAATGCCCAGATGCGCCTCACACCGCCGCCAGACAACATCGATACACTCGATGTCGGCGTCCTCTGCCGCTTCCGCAAGAAGCTGTTGAAGAACTACACCGATTGGTACTACTATTTAGAGAGGAAATCTAACACATTTGATTAGAGGATTCAAACCATGTTATTCGAACCATTTTTTATTTACGTGAATTTTTTATGAGAAAAAATACTGTAACGAACCATGAATCATGATTCGACTCAGGAAATGAATCCCTCTACCAAACATCCTCTTAGATCTCCAACGCCGCTGAAAATCTGAGAATATCTTTTTGCATATGATTGGGTGGCTTCTTGGCTTCACCTTCTCCTATAAACGTCTTCAGAACTATCTAATTATTTAATTAATCACCAAAATCAACACCACACTAATCGTTTATAAAGGCCGCCACTACTACTACTGGTTGCACCTGCACCTGTACTTGTGGGGCCAAGCCGCCGTGGATGGTGGTGGTAGTGGAGAGAGATAGAATTAGTCTTTGTGAGGGAAGGAAAAGGGGAAGGAGATGGAGATAGAGAATTAATGAGATGAAGATGGTGCGGAGATTTTGACAATACTTGACCTGCTGCTGCTAAAAAACCATTGGCATTTTTTTTTTGGTTTACCAGATGCAAAAAGCAAAGATCAGTCTCAAAATCGAGAGATTCTCAGATTTTCAGCTAAATAAAATACCCGAAAAGAATCGGAGGGTGGTGACTTTTCTTCGGGTAACATTAGTTTTTGTTCTCCGATTTATTATTTAAAATATTATTACGTATTTTTAAAATTTAAACTATCAAACATAATTTTAGAACACATTCATTTTATTGATTTGAGTTTAAAATTTAAGTTGAGATGTGATTTTATGTGAAAATTTTTTTATTGTAATAATAAAATTAAATGTGACTGTTTATGAAAATTTTTTACTCTAATAAAAATTCTAAACTCGAATAAGCATTCTAAACTCGAATAAGCAAAACGAAACCTTAATGTGTTTTAATTTTTTTTTAACCGAAAACAATATA